ATTATTCTTAAATTCAATTCAACTTTTACTTACGGTTTGTGTTTTGTAAAAATCTTCAAATTCTTGTTTATCTTTTTGCTTCAGAACCACAATTTTTTTTAGACACTGAATGATATCCAAAATCATTAGTAGAGTCAATTGTAAATAAAAGGTCATGATATTTATATTTTTTTTTACGACGAAACAATAACATTAGCGAGCACTTTTGGAATGATACATTATTAAAGTCGAGTACCTACATTGCTTTTTTCGTTACACAAAAAAAACGACTTCATCTTTATCAATTTTATTTTACATTAATTAATATAATAATTTTTAGATGCACAAATAAAATAACAATGTAAATATAAAACGTTGTTTATTACGAACTCCAAAACAGCGTGGTTTTTATGTTAGAATAAAAATGTTGCATCTATTCAGTTTGAGAACACTGACATTCGACGCATGCGCAATGGCTTAAAAGTGTCGCACAGCCGACAATCGCTGTCCTCGTCTGACAAATGATGTTACGCGCTAACTCTCTTTCACTCTACCTTAAATATTTATTATCTTTAACAGCCAGTAGCCCTTATTTGCGGCCAGATTTAATTAAGCAACTTTATATGATAATTAATAGAAAAAAATTAGCTTCAATTTGACATATAATTAATAAAAATAGGTTATAAACGTATAAATTTATCGAAATCATACCTGTTTACACCTGGCTGCAAAGAGGTGCGGCCAGGTGCGCAACGGCACCCGTGATTTTTTAGAATCTTCATATTAATTACCGTGATGTAGACGTTATTTTATTTAAATAATAAATGAACGAAATTTTTTACCAAAAATCAATTAAAAATAATTTAATTAAAAATAATGGCGGCCAAATTTTGATAGGCACCCTAGTAAATATATATTCTCTTAATTATAAATAAACATAAAAATTTGGTTTTAAACAAATAGTCGATGAGCGCACCAATCCTGCAGCGGGATCTTAGACCATTTGGAGATGTCAGAGATATTAGTGATGGAAGTTTTAACTTTAGAAACGACAAATTCAAGGAATTATTTCTCAATACGCAAATGTTCATCTTTATAGGTTTTTGTAGTTTGTTTATCACGGCAATGGCAGGAATTTAATTTAATTTTACAATTTTATGAGGTTTATTTTTAATTATTATTTTTGTGTTAAAAATTATACATATGAATAAATTCTGAATTTTATACAAATGATATAAACCTCTCGCGAGTTATATTTAAATAACACATTATTTATTTAATCAATATCGTTTTTCTGACAATCAAAGAGCCATAAAGACTGATATGATCTGCGTGTCTATATATTTAATAGCCCGATACTTCACAGCCAATAATCGAAGAGTAACCCTATCGTTGCGTTAAAGATACGGTGGCAATCTTCATTCCAGCAGTCCATTCGATGAGACCCACTCCGCATATCCTAGGGTTGCCAACTATGCGCGGAAGTAGCAGAACTTGTATGAATATTGGATATGAATAATGTTATTGCTTGAAACGTCAAAAACTTTAAAATCCAGACGCGTGCAAACGTGATGTAACTTTCCAAACATGAGAATGGTAAATAAACGATATAGAAATAACGCCACTATAGAATAATCTAATGTTTTTAGGTTTGGACCTCAGATTTCTGATTAGGTTTTATCTAATATGAAAGTAAGTAATTATCCTGTGCCTGACACACACAGTCGTGTTTTTATTTATTTATTTATTCCACATCATTATTCTATTTTCACAGTTATTACTAATTCTATAGAACGACACTTTAATACCCACACCGATTATCCTACATAAAAAACATTAAAAATATATTTAAATACTTAAATCTTATAACTGACAATATAGCAAGCAACTGTTGTGAACTCAGCCAAGTGTACAAACAAATACTTTTTGTTTGTACACAAAAATGTTTAGTGTCTAAGGCATGCCGTTTTCCCTACGATGTTTTCTTTCACCGTACCAGCGAGAATTAATGCACTTAGAAACAAAGTCCACTGGTGCACAGCCGGAAATCGAACCTAATCGTATGAGTGTCGCACGCTGAAGCCACTAGGCCAACATCACTCATAATTAAGTATGTATTGTTTTCTAATATTAATGTACAACGACTTCCTTATCAAATTGCGTTAATTTGACAATCAATGGAGTAGTGATATTAATTTGATATTCGGTTAAGTGCTGTGATAATTGGATAACCGTCTAATGACGTCACACGATTATTGATCAATTGAATTAATAATATGATTGCCCATCACTTGTCTTAAGCCTTTGTCTTCACTTATTGACCGGTAGTATGATAGCCGCCGGGTCATAATTCGACAAATCATTGTTATACGTTGACCTGGGTTAGATTTCTAGCGAAACAATTATTAGAATAGGCAGAACCAATTATTCATGAATCGATACGCATATACAAACTGGCTATGTGGAGGAAGGAAGATGCTGCTCCGAACTAAAGGGAGGATCGTTGACCTCTAACCACTGACTGATTCAAAGGCTAAGGTCATATGGTCATAATTACTTATTATTTGTAGCCGCAGATTGTAGAGGTCGCTACATATGTGCATTACATAGCCAATTCTTGCAATTGCTTGTTCGAATCTTAGGGAAAAAATTTAATACGTTATAAATTGTATCTTTCCTGTGGATCTATGGCCATGTTTCTGCTTAGTATATGCCTTCTACACGGACGGGATCAACCGCCGACCATCGTGTCGTTCTTTCAAAGCAACAGGAGGTTTGTAAATAACTTTTTTATGCTTGAGTGAAAAAAAGAAACATTGAAAAAAAAAACAGAGGCTTAAAGAGCGGATTACTTTACCTTAACATTTACGGATTCTTGATGACTTTCCGAAATTTCCGTTCAAGACACTTTTATGCATCACTTGAAATGGTGCATCCTGCAACCTGTATGTTCTGAAGAATGGTTAATAGCTCCATTAAGGTTTCTGGGTACGGGAAGAAGTTAAAAAGGGATTAGATCAGCCTTGCGATTCGGTAACTCACACAGCGGTTTTCACAGCGGCGGTCGCGCTCAAATCAGTCGTAAAGCAGTCATTTTATGATTTGGCATTGTGATAATCAAAAAACTACAAGCTCCCTCCTTATACAGAATAGCAAGGCAGTACAGTTATTTACTTTCAATTACTTTCTTTAATTATTACAGAGATTTTTACATTGTCCATTTTTTATATCCATCCGACCAAAGACTCATGTAGAATGACCGAGTGGAGGCCTTTAGTTCTAACACATTCGCTGCGATGTTTTTCAAATCACATTAAAAGTTTTAGCCAGGTTTATTATTCTTTTTTTATTTGCAAAAAGTTTCTAAATATTCTAAGCAAACAAATATTTACAGTCATCTTAGCCGGCCTTACCTTTAATTCCGGGGATATTTCCCAACAAGGCCTCATTTCAAAAATAACCCCTAAGCAACCACTTCATTACAAAAGGCTTAATTTTCAAATCTCCAACGTAAAACGGATTTACATTTTTGACATCAGAAATAAATGGGAACACCTAAATTTAGATGAGGATAAAAAATTTAGTTCATATTTTGTTATATTTCATATTACTTTTGTGAAGTGATTATTGAAATTTTGTTGGGAGATTATAATAACTTTTCTTTAAAATAAAACACTATTTTGACCGGATTGAAGTTATGTATTATTATAAATTTACAACTATTTAACATAATTTTAAATTTATCCGACGTTTCGCTGTAAATTTATAATAATACATAACTTCAATCCGGTCAAAATAGTGTTTTATTAAATGAATAAAAGTTATGTTAATCAAAGACAATACTATTTTCTTAAAAATTTTAAATTCCCCTGAAACATTACATTGGGTATAGCAATATTTTTCTTAAAATCAACAAAAACTTGAATGACTATCGCCACCGTACTGCCGGTGGTTTTTTTCCACCGTAATAAAATAAAATTTGAAGTACGTAATTTAATAATTCAAACTGAAAATCGGGCTCATTACGTAAACAAGACAATTTTATTCCAATAAAAATAATATATAAGATTAAGTCTGTAAACGGCTATAAATATGCAAGTTTTTAGTAACGATTTCACATTGATTCACTAGTGTATTAAATTACAGGTAATAAAAACTTATAACGACGCAAAAAATTAGCCTGCGGCGTCTCAAATATCGGTACACATAATTTTTGTATAAAAATTCATTTTGTGGTAACAGTTTCCTTTCAACTGTTTTTGCGAGTTTAATAATCATATCTTATATTAAACCTATTTTACACAGTATTTTTTTATCACACTCATCCAAAATGACAGTAGTAAATATATTGTTACATAATAAGTAATAACCCGTTACTATTTATCGAGGAAGGCTAACATCAAGTTACCAACTAATCTAATATGTATATAAAATTATCGTGTCGTGTTTGTAATTAAACTCCTTCGAAATGGCTCGACCGATTTTCGTGAAATTTTGTGTGCATATCGGTTAGGTCTGCGAATCGGACAACATTTTCATTCCCCTAAATGTTAACCCCTAATTTTTTTTTTTTTTGTAAGACAAGTTTTTTGTTTTTATTATTGTATGAATACATACAACCCTTAATTTTCACCCCTCTTCGGTCAACCCCTATTTTTATTATAGTAGATAGTTATTTTTATTGAACTAAAACTAAACGAAACGAACTAGAACTAAATGTTTCCTAGAAATAATATACATGGCATAACAACGTTTGCCGGGTCAGCTAGTAAAAATATAAGTTTTAGTTAGTATTTTTATTTAATTGAAACGATAGTGTTATAAGAACTTTTTACATTCCATAGATATGAGAAGTATGACAAATTTGAAATTATTATGATAGCAGTTCCTAACCTCAAAATGACTCTAAAATTATGAAAGTAAATAAGCTGAGTCTTTCCAATTTTCTTTTATTTTTCGTATTCGTCCCTAGCGTCAGAACTGACTATGCAAATATTATTAAAGAACAAAGTAAAATTGCAATGAAACCTCAGCAAAATAATTCGGTTGAAGCCGCAAAGGCCCTGATTACTGTAATGTCAAAAACTGGGAATACGAATGGGAAGTACCTCGAAAAATTGTCTAAAAATTCCAAACAAGATGTAACAAGGCAAATTAGAAATATAATTAACACACTTGAATGTGTGGGATGTGATACGACACAAATACCCAGAAACGAAAAATGTTATGGCGGAAATGTGTAAGCAATTAGTATACTAAAATTAAATTATTTTTATTACAATTTCATTACAAGCTGAAAAATAGCGCAACTGTATCTTCTTCGAATAACATTGATTACATTTTATAATTACAAATGAATGATTAATTTATTACCCAATTAGTTAAAGATTGATAAAGAAATCGTAAGTTCTGAACGACTATGTCTAACTTGCAGAAATTAGTACCAAATTGAGTACTAATGAAACGGCTTATAAAATAACATTAGCGTTCTTTATTATAAATATATTATTTTAAGAAACGCCACTTCCACATTTCCAGGGAAACATTAGTAATTTGCTCGCACGGCGAAGAATGTTATACTGAAATACATCCGGACTACATTAAGAGGGGCTGTATGTCTCGAAGCAGGTTAAATAGGACATTTATATGCAAATGTCCGCTCTGCAATGACAAACCGTTTGATGACGTCCCTTCCTACGAATACAAGACAATAAGAGATTGGGAATACGATAACAGACGCCTCCAAACTGCAGTTATTGGTATAGACCTCTTGTGTAAAGTGTGTGACACTAAGGGAATGAATCGTGAGGCCGATGAGCGCTGTAAGAAAGGAAAAGAGTAAGTTAAAAGATAAATAAAATTCTCAGTTAGGCATGGGGAAGACGTATTTCTTAGCTTTGCATAGAACATAATTTGCTTTGGTATAGCAACGCACGTACGGTATTATTTGTGCTTGTAAAAAATCGATCCGCAGAGCTTCGGATGCGTTAGATAATTCTAAATGTAACCTAATACTAATACGTCTTTTGCCTTCAAGATTAAGTGATTTTATTATTTTATCTTTATTAATAAAAGCAGGTAACAGGTTTACATATAAGTAATAATGACAAACCCTTAAATCCTAATGCAATTAAAAATCTTTCTATTCCAGTGCAGATTACATGGTGTGCGCAAAAAATCAAGTCTGCTTCACAAATATTGATTTGGACACTGACTTTGTTTCTAGAGGTTGCGTTGATGTACCAGTCTTTAATTCCATGTATAATTTTTGTAATAATACGAATTGTAATAATGTGGCGTACAAAAATGCTAAGCTTATAAAACGCAGGAGTGAAATTGAAAAGGCGCAGGAATTTTATATCAGCTTTCCTAAGACCTTAGTATCACGAGCTGGCTCATTTCGACACATCAGTATAGCTGGAACCCCATTAACATCTATTGTGGTACTGTTTACTATATTGTCAGTCATTCATCTATGAAAAGAAGAAAAATCTGTCAGTTGTCAAATAATGTCAAATTAAAAATGAATATTATATTCAATTTCATATATTTTTTAATTGTATCCATTAACTGTGATGATATAAGGAGAATATTACCCTTTCCAAGATTAAGAGAACAAATTGAGGAAGTAACGATACAAGCTACGTCATCTGAAAGTCCTGATTCCAATTTGGTTTCATTCCTCGTTCAAAATGTTAAAGAAATATTTGGGGCTGCTGATGAACCCACCGTTTTAGTTGACAAAGAAATTGATGCGACTACAACAGAATTTGAAGTTACGACTGAAACAGAATCTGTAGATAGAGAAAAAATTCTGAATAAGATAAATATCTGTCATAAAAATGTCTCGGGAGTAATTATTGATGAATGTACTCGAGAAAATATTCTAGATAGCACAAATGAAGAACTAACAGTAACGACAGAACAATTTTCAAAAGACCGAGATGTTATTGTCATACCTGAAAGCGAGGAAATAAAGCTTAATCCTCTTGAATCGTGGTATTCTAAAGACCGAGAAGAAACAAGTTCTTTACCTATACCTACACCGAACTATAATGCGTCAACAAAAAGATCGTGTATTTTTTGCAACAACGTTGAAGTGGAGTATTGTGACGATCCGAAAAATAAATTGTTAGTATACCTCCTTATAATGGCATATTATGTTAATAATAGTAAAAGTATAGCGGATAATAGGAAGTATAGTAAAAGTAGAGAAATTCAAAAATTTGTAAATTAACATTGCATTAATACATCAGTAGGTACTGTAGAATATTTAATGTTTAAATGATTAAATTATATTATTAGTAAATTTTATTTTGTAATACTGATAAAATTAAATGCATAAATCATTTGTTTGCCATAAAAGTGGTACATATTATGATGGATTAATTAAAAGAACCTCACAATCAGCCTTAATAAACAAGCATGTAATGTCATTTTATTATTAAAAGCAATTAAATTATTTGTTGAACTCCCTCGCGTTATGCCATCACTGTGTCTTGAAAAATCTAATCATTATTGAATTGAAATTATTATTGAAACAATTACGCCATTGTGATAATATATCACAATGGCGTAATAGTTTCCCCTCGTTAGCCTTTGGGAAGGTGATAAAGAGGTTGATTGTCATAGCATAGCTATTTTTTTAATACATCGTGGTGTTACATGCTGTGATAGTACAGCATTCGGTATTATAAAAATAAGCAAAATTTCAGAAAATTTGAAGCTCTTTTTCGTGCTTTCAGAATATCTTCAATCGTATGTGAACAAGATGAAGATCTATGTTATTCTCAACACACTCCATTCGGTTTAGTCGATCGTGGTTGTTTTAATATAAACCGTAATATAACCACGTATTTCTGTTCTTGTAATCTCTGTAACTACATTGCGATTTCGGAAATGCCGCACATATTTTCAAGGAAACAAGATTGGATAGAAAATGTTAAAGAAATGTCCAGATTAAAACGATTCAGGCGGTCCATTTTCAAAGACATGTCGTGCTTGCGATGTGAAATTAATGGTACTACTAAGAGTGGAGATATTTTATATAGCACTAATTGTTTGGAAGGTAACATGTACGTATCATATATATATATATTCTGTTCTGTTCCTTTCAAGCCAAACTTGGGTATGTTTCTGCTATATATTAAACCCAGATCCTCTGAACGCTTGACTATGGAGCAGTTGAACTAAGCTACTCACTTAACGTAACGAACTATTTAAAATCGCTTACGATAAGAAAGATAAACATATAACATATAGTGACAAAAAACAGTACTAAGTCTTTTGCGTTGTGACCTAATTTATGTTTAGATCACAATTTTTTTGGGATTAAACCGCCACAATATTAATTATATTATAAGTTGTTGTGAAAGTAACAATTAAAAGTTTTAAAGATATATCCAATATCCGCAATTTATGTCATAAACATTTTAACAAAGTAATCGATTTATATTTTCAGAGGGTCCTTACCACTTCAATTATGTGCGAAAAATGAGATTTGCGCAGTAAAAGCCATTCGCAGTGAAGGATATATGTGGCGAGGCTGCGTGTCCAAACCACTTTATAACTATTGGTGGACACTTTGCGATACTGACCTTTGTAACTACGAGGCATTAGTGTCAATTTTTGATCAGTTTTAAAAATAAAAAAATTTAATAACGTTTTTTATTGACATACATATCTGTACTAACACATACCTTTCAATTAACTACGTTTGGGTTCATCTATTATATAAAATTCTCGTGTCACAATGTTCGTTCCCATACTCCTCCGAAACAGCTTAATCGATTCTTATGAAATTTTGTATGCACTTTCAATATGTCTAAGAATCGGCTGCTATCTATCTTTTAAACCCTTAAGTGATAAGGGGTAGCCACCCCTAATAATTTTTGTTGCAATTTTTAGATATTTTTTTGTTGTTTTTATTTTTTTATGATACACCATACCAAAATACATACAACTCTTAATTTTCACCTCTCTACTCTATTTTTTATAATTGTAGATAGTTATTTTTATTGAACTAAAAAAGTTTTACTAGAAATAATATACATGGCAAAACAACGTTTGCCGAGTCAGCTAGTATTTATAATAAAAATAATCTTTTTTAAGGATACCATTTGTATTATGTATATCTTTCTATGTTTGTTACTGCAGAATGATTCCAAGTGGAAAGCTCACACGACTGCAGACCGCAGATTCAAACCGCTGGTCTGGAATATTAGATGTCTCCTTGATAGATTAGTCTCTTGACCAAATATTTGTTTCATCTATGAGGGTAAATCAATTATATCAAGTAACTCATGAGAACTTATACTTGTTTTATGTACAATGAGTACATCATCATATGTTTACGCTAAGATGAAAGTATCAAAGTCAAAGTCAAAAATCATTTATTCATATCGGTTACACAATGTACACTTATGAACGTCAAAAAAGAAATAAACATTAATAATTGTTCTAATTTTAAATTTACTGTCAGTGCTTTCGACTAGTGATTATGAATAATAGGAAAGGGATCTTTTGGTTGTCTAATTTTTTTTTTAAAAACAAAGGACTATTGCATACGTTAGAAAGTTCGAAATACTCGTTTTACTGTTTTATGTGCTCATTGTCATCAAATGTTTACGCTAAGATGAAAGTGTCAAAGTCAAAAGTCATTTATTCATATAGGTTACACAATGTACACTTATGAACGTCAAAAAAGAAAAAAACATTAAATGTTCTAATTTTAAATTTACTGTCAGTGCTTTAGACTAGTAATTATGAATTATAGCGAGTGAACTTATGGCTGTCTAAAGATTTTATTTAAAAACAAAGGACTGTCGCTTACGTTAGAAAGTTCGCAATAGACTCAGGTGAGGAGACTTCTGTAAAACGATTTATGGGATTGTTTTTTTTACAAAAATCCATTACAACCAAAGTTTGATTGCCTATATATATAATAACAACTGTACGTATTACACCAATAGGCTAGCTCTGGCACTATTATATAAAATATAAAAGATTATTTTGTAAAAATGCTAAAGCAGAAGAAATTTTCAGTAGCTAGTACATATATCTTTTCCGCTACAGCTGCGTGATATTACTAGACAAAGTTAATGCAGCTTTAAATATTTTTAAAATAACACTGAGATCTCTTTTATATGTTAATACATTCATGTGGGATTTTGTTTGCTTACAAAATTCTTATACATTTGCTTTTATTGTTAAAAACTAGTTTAGATGCAATTTATGATTCTTTGTTCGTATTATTAGAAATTTCTTCAGAATCACTATACGTATGTGCGTCAAGTACAATTTAAAAATATTTTCAATAAGTGATTTTTTGTCAAGTTTATCTGTTATAATTTTAAAAATAAAATTTAAGAAACGTTTTAAGAAACAGTATCAAACAAAACATTTATGTTTGCAAACTTTTCGCTAAGGTAAGCGCTTCTAAAGTATCCCATGTACTCTATAATATCACTTAAATGCAATGTCAACAGCTGTCAAACCTTTTTTCTGTTTGAAGTTTGACATACTTGTTAATGCTCGGGCGGAGACTGTGTCCTACGTTACATACTCGTATACGCCTTAGATACGCGTATAAAACGTATACGTTAAAAAATATATATTCAACAAAACCTAGTACTAGCTTACGTAGACTATTTTAACGATATTGGGTTATCGTTTTTTCTCAGCGCAACCGGTCAACCGTTATTAAATAGCTCTCAATAAAAATAAAGAAAATATTGAATGTTATCAAAAAGTGCTGATATCTTAACAAGAGCCTACCTTTCAATATCTGGCTAGCAGCCCAGAATCTAGATCTTTTTACCTTTGGCATCGTTCCAGGGAAAATATTAGGTACCCTTTCGAACTTGACCCTATCACTTTTGAAGTGTTTGAAGTAAACTGAGAGAACTCGACTTACTGAAGCCATAAATTCTTAGTTTTCTTTGATACTAAATTTTATTTGAGTTGAGAACTTTTAAGGTTTTACTTTATACATCAAAATAATTATATAAATATAACATTAACACTTTGAATTCGCTTTATTACTCGATAAGTATCTTTATAGTTTTAAGCTTAGAAAAATCTTATAAGGAATAACTTTACTTAGATGGGTATTATATATATACATATATATTTTAAGGCGAATCTGCTCCTTATAAACCACACTGATAAAAGATGTTAGGTGGATCCCGATGTTCCTTATATAATATTTGAAGATGATGTTGCAACCTGGTAATCGTACGGTATAAAACCTCAGCATTAAAGTTTATATCATTATCTTTTTATCTATTTTCAAGCTAAGCCTATGTTGTCGTCGGAGGTATTAACTAACGTATATGTACAACTTAAGTAAATGGTATTGGTAACCCGGATGATTAATCACAGGTACCGATTTATTTTAACAACTTTTTGTATAATGGACAGCAAATTCCAAAATGATGCCTCTTAACCTATTGCTGAACATTATTTCTTCTTCTTATTTACTTCGCCATGACATGGCCTGGTCTCGCATGACAGAGCTCCATAGAATGCGTCACATGAAGTTCTAATATAAATTACACCATGCCATATTATACTTCCCTTACATTACAAATAGAGAACGTATCGAAAAACCATCTAGTGTGTCTAAAACAGTGCTTCTGAATTCCGATAATACGGTGAGGTTTAAAGATTGTTGTATACAATCGACTTATGGTTGCCTTTATAGAAAATGGTTTCCTTGAGCAGTGCTCAGTCGAGTGTACGATGTTGAAGCGCAAGATAAGGCTTTATGAGAGCCTACGTTATCCTATAATTTTCTACTTCCAACCAGCCGCTGAGATGAGTCACAGGTACGGGAAAATAGCTAAGCCATTTAAGTTGTTAGATGTGAAATATTATGGATTGCTTTCGCGCCTATATGCGCTTTTAAATTTGGAATTGTGATGAGTGTTTCTATTGTTTTTGAATAACTTGTTGTTGTTGCTCTATTGTTGTTGCTTAGTAAGCAGAGCAGTGGTTTTAGGTTGCTATTTCAAGATGTTAGACAGTTGTATTTAACAAATGATCAATTAAACGGACACAGAAATATCATTATTATGACGTCTACAATTATAAGGTATTATTTGTATACAAACATTAATGGAGGAGGAGGAATACGAGTCGCTAGTAGCTTACTGATGAAATACGCACCTGCTTAGCTATTCCCAACAGTCTACGGCTTTCGCTCTTTATCTGACAAAGAAAACATAAAACGCGTTACGCCCTTGGCGGAATAGCATCTTGTTTACACCAACGCCGTCGGGATTGCAAAAATCTCTTGAAACTCCTGACATATTTGATATTACACGTTAAGTGAGCATTAAATACACAATTTGTTACGTGTTGAAAGAAACGTGGAGAGTGCCTGAGGGCGTTTTCTTTCCAACTAGCATGCCTTCTGAGATCCCGGTGTGTGAAAGGGATAGTGAAGCTTAGTTTATCTAAAGGTTTATTTAATGACGATAAAGTTACGATACCTTCATAATTTAATATCACTTAGACTTGTTACTTTTTCTGCCCTGCGATTCTGTAACTCACTTTTCGAACTCACACAGCGGTTTTCGCATCGGCGGTCGCTCTCAAATCAGTCGTGAAGCAGTCATTTTATGATTTGGCATTCTGAAAAGGGAGCTTGTAGTTTATTGTTTATCAGAATGCCAAATTATAAAATGACTGCTTCACGACTGATTTGAGAGCGACCGCCGATGCGAAAACCGCTGTGTGAGTTCGAAAAGTGAGTTACAGAATCGCAGGGCTGTTATTAAATTATTTAGACTTTGTTGTTGGGTAATAAGACCAGGATGGCAGTTGTAGTTTCATATATTTTTCTTCTTCAAGTACTTTTAACAAGACCTGCTACGCACTCGCGAGCCTTTTATTAGTGTCTGGCGGTACCACATTTGACATGAGATAAATCACCCACTCTTGTATAGTAAACCTAAAAAAATCAAGGCTTAAGTTAAAAAAAATATTTTTCACAAAAAGTCAACTCAAAATTGAAAAATCATATTTATCCTCTACTATATTCCCACACCACTCATTACCATTTCATACGTTGCATCGGAACTCTGTTATTACGAGTCGGTAAGGGCGCAATGATCACGTCTGCGTGTGATTACTCGTTTCTTTTCTTTTTGGACGCCTCGAAACAAACATTCGTCCAAAATAGATTAATGATACTCTCCGTTTTACGGGTTTGGTATGTTTGTATTGATTAGTTTTACATTCGTTAGAATCTGTTTAATAGTTACATACATACATTTAATGTATATATTGGGTAAATTAATAAAATTATTAAATGATAGATTGTGCTTGTGCTGATAACTTTATAAATACGTCTTGATAAGCTTGCAAGTCAGTACATAAATCAAAATTATGAATTTATCAATAGAAACTTGTAAATTGTATACTCATCATTCAAGAAATTATTCTCAATTATATATTCTTTAACTCGCCCTTCTTATTCATTGAACCAAGTCTAAATGCTTATTAACTAAAGTACTTTTTCGTCCATATCTTTCAAATTTTGTTTCATCAATCATAACAAAAAAACGACATGGATTAAAACTTAAGCTATAACAGTACAATTAAACTTCTTTCGTTTTTATTAATAAATTTGGTAATAAGTACGCTAATACATCTTTGCAGTGCCACATACTGTTCTTGGCCGGAAAGAGCGTCGCTGTCAGATATTAGTATTGCCAGTTAATAAAAATAACCATTATATGGGGAATAATTTAAAGTTATGCAGGCTAACTTAATAATTTATTGAAATGTCTTAATGTATACTAGAATCTAGAAAATACAATTCTAGGCTTAAATAAACACAAACTTAGGAACAACTGATATGATAGGTTTTGTTACCTGTACCATTAATAAAACATATTTTAAGATACCTAGCAATCAGAATCGTTCGATAATTTAAACTTTGCCATTGCAATAAATAAAAGGAATGAAAATAAATATATTTTAGTTGGATTTTTATTGCACGTTGGTTGATAGTAAAATTATTTCTTGTACGCACCAATATGGCGATGGTAGCACTAATTTCAGCCGGCAGCCAAGAAAAGTATCTGCAACTGTAAAATGCGCCCTAAGTCACTTCCAAAGGCGACACCGAATGCGATTCTAACGCCAATAATGAGGTTTTATACCGCGCGATTGTAATATTGCGACAAGAGCTACGGATAATAGAGAATTACCGACATCTAAATTGCAAAAAAAAAA